CGATCATATGTGTCCATCCATGTGCATGACAGCCGCGGTCTCCGCGCGAAATCAATCCGGCTGCATTCTATATCTGGCTGTTTCAAGAGTTGTGCTCCTTGGTTCTGGCCACAGTGGCCAATAGGAACAACTCCCTGTTTGTATTATTGATATCACGATATTCCCCCTCCAAGCGTTCGTTTATTCAAAGCAGTTACATTAATTTCGGTTAAAAGATGGAGCAGGAACGGCTTCCTGGCTACCTCTTCGTCATTTCTAACTCTCTCTCCACAAAATACAAAGGAATCAATCATTCTAATCGTTTAATTTTGCTGTGCTTGGACAATTCCTTTCTAATGACTGGGCGCGGCCTTGCCATTGTTTCTTTGAACGAAAAGGTTGAACAAAAGAGCTCTAAGAAGCAATAGCGTGTTCCAGCAAAAAAGAAACTAAAGAATAAAAGCCCATCTTTGTCTGCGATAGTTACCAATTTTGCTTTGGTTTAACTTGAGCTCCTAGCATCCGGCTCCATGAGACGGAGCATCGATCGAAGCAAAAGAATAGCAGTTCCTCCACGCCAGCTAAGGAGCAAACTTGGGTTTCCAAATGTTTTAGTCTTATATTATTTCAACACAGGCGAACCCGAGTGAAAGGGATGTGTGTGTGTGTGTGTGTGTGTGTGTGTGTGTGTGTGTGTGTGTGTCCATGAGAGGGGACGCTGGCTGGTGATGATAAAAAGGGGGATAATCACCAACGTTGAATCCAGGTTTCCTCGGAAGACTGACACGAGCAGCCAGGCATCTTTCTTTCCGACGGGTCTGCATCTACAACGAAAGGAAAGAAGGAATCTACAAACCTTATCTTGCGGCAGCAGTCCTCATCTAGTTCTCTCATGTTATTGAGGGTGGTGAAGTCCATATACCTTTGTGCGAAACCATTGTGGAGATATCATTCTGGATACACGAGAGGAAGCTGCGGACACCACTGAGAGCGTAGAGATGCTACAAACTGAGCAGTCCTAGCCCACTGCTTGGTCGCTGTCACTTACATCTAGGAAATTAGTCTCTTTTAGAAGCCCCAACCATTCCGTCCCGCCATTGATGAATCGGCAATCATTCACTTAGAATGAATGAAACGGTTACTGTCATTAGCAAGTGCCGCCCGGCAAGAATGGATTTGACGTGTGATTATATTTTCAGCCACGTGTTCAACGGCACGGATCTGTATGTGAACAAGTCTGTGTTGAGACTGGCAATATGGATGGAACGGATTGATTAGAGGTTGGCATAAGGGCTGAGATGTGAGGATGAACACCGAGCCGGTTGTTGGGACCGATGGAAGGGAAATAGGGTGGAGCCACAAGCCGGGTGGTGAGATAGTCATGGCGTGAGGAATATAGAGGGAGGCATTATGCTGGAGCAGTAATTGAGTGTTTATTGCATATAGACAAAGCTATTTTTACTTTCCAGGCTGGGTGTTATAAGCAATCGATTATACGGTTTGTCGATGCC